TTGAGCCACATGGCTAGGCAAGGCGCTTCTTAAAAATCCACATTCCCAGGCCCCTCCCAGAGCCCTGACCCAGAATCTCTGGGGGGTGGGCAGGAGGCTAGGTGGGGAGGTGGGACCCGAGTGGTTAGCGCCTCCTCCTCCTCTCTTGGGAAGTCCTGGTTGTACTTGTCTGTCACATCAGCTGTGACAGGGCCCAAGTCCACTCACTCCCTCCCTGAACCACAGCCCCCCATTCCCCCAGCAGAGCCCGGCCTTGGCCTGAGCTCTGCTCACTTTCTACCTCCTGGAGGTGGCACATCTCCTGTCCTGGGCCCCCTCTGGGCGTGGCGCTTTGGCCGCCCCGCCCACAAGAGGCGCTGCCCTCGGAGTCCCCTCTGTCCTCGGCCCAAGCTGTGGGTCTGTGCCAGGAAAGGCCCCAAGGGACAGTTCACAGGGTGCCTGTGACCAGCACCACGGGCCCTTCTGAGTTCTGTAATCCAGGTGGTGGTTCTGCCCATCTCATTCTGTCCTTATTTCAGCAAATAGTGGCCGAGCACCTTTTGGGAAAGGGCAGTCAGTGGGGCCCGTCCCAGCACAGCAGGCTGGCCTGCCCCTCCCGGGGGGCCTGCTCCTGAGGCGCGGTACCCGGCCCTCACAGACAGCCCGGCCTCCCCCGCTGCTGGCCAAGACCAGGGACAGGAGGAAAAGCCATTCAGCCTCTGGACTCCACACAGACGCTAACGGGTTCCCCACACGCGGGGCCCTGGAGGTTGCAGCTGGCTCTGTCACAGGCCCTGTCAGAGCGACGATAACGATGATAACTGTCTCCCTTCAGAGGCCGGAGGGGCCGGTCCCGGCTCCAGGGTGTGAGGCCAGTGTTTGGGGACAGTCCCTGGGGCCACATTATGGCACCCGGGAGAGGCTGGGGGACAGCTCCCCTGCCAGCCTGCCAAGGGCTGGGCCACTTCCTCTGCGTGGGAGGGTGGCGGCTTCCAAGATTACTTTTGGGATAAAACCACCTAAAAGTGCTTCCAGCTCCCCCGTCTGCCCCTCTCTTCTGGCCGTTGGGAAGGTGAGCTTCAAAACTGCAGCTTCTCCACCGAAATATTTAACTGCTAAGCGCAGCAGCGCTGCTGGGACTCATTACAAAACCATTCATTTGACTTCATGTCAACATCCACACTCCCACCCCTCCCGGCCCATCCGTCTTACTCGTATCACCCCCTGCCCCTTCCCCATCCGAGCACATCTGACCCTTCTCCACAGGAAACGCCAGCGGCCAGAGCAGGCCCCCAACAGCCCAGTGACAGCCCCGAGGCAGGACTCGAAGTGCTGGGCATATGCTGGGTTGACGGTTCCAGCCCTGCTCTGCTGCGCTGTCCATAGCGTGGGCCCAAGCTGCCTGGCCACTCGGGGTCACGGACCTGAGGCTGGTCAGAGGAGCCTGGTTCCTCTGGGAGAGCCAGTGTCACGGCCCTGGGGCACTTGGCTGACACCGTGACCCAGAACCGCAGGCAGCACAGACAGCACCCGCGGCGATCGGGTCCAGGCTGCGCTAGGCTGCTCGGCACCGCAGGGTCCCAAGAAGGGTGCACTGGGCTGTCCTGGCCTCGGCAGCTTTGTCCCAGGAGGGTCACAGGCAAACAGGGGTCAGGGAGGGGGTCAGGCTGCCCTCCCACCAACCACAGGCTGGGCTCCCGCTGCCACAGGCCCTGTCCCTGTGTTCATGGTCCCTGGTGGGGTAGTGACCACCTGGGCCAGGCCACGTGCCCCTGAAGGTCAGCACTGTCTGGCCTCCGCTGTCAGCTGCCTTTGGGCATCCTCAGGAAACCAGGCCAGGCCTGACCGGGGGCCCTGACTTCCAGGCCGGCTCCTGGCAGGACCCAGAGGAAGACATTCCAATTGGCCAGCCAGACTTGGGTGCAGTGTCTGCCAGGAGGACACTGAGGGCTGCGAGTGGGTGTAGCGACGCCAGGAAGAGCAGGCAGGTGCTGGCAGGGAGGCAGGCACGGTGGGCGAGAGGCCGGGGCCGAGGCAGCATCTCCTAACCTCCTTTGGGTGCCGTGACCCGGGGAGAGAGGCCCCGCCCAGGCTGCTGTGCAGAGGGAAGAAGACACGCTCTGGGCAGCACCCGGCTTGGGGGAAGCGGCCCACGTGCAACCCCCGCCCGGCCCCTCCTGCAGGGCAGAGCGAGAGGGTCCCTGGGAGGCAGGTCCCACAGGTCCTGCTGGGTGGACACTCGGGCCAGGCTATTCCTTCCCCCGTTTTCAACAAAACCTATGGAGGACTTAGCATGTGACACGAGAGGGCGGCCACAGGAAAGAGACGGATGTGAGGGGACAAAGACACCCCCAACCTAAAAGCAAACCCAGTGCAGGGGCCAAGGGAACTATGGCGTGTGGGTGGGTGAAGTCACAGGATTTCCCAGATTTGAAATGTGGAGGTGGCCACTGGCCTGGGCCAGGGCAGCAGGGGTGGCCGGTAGGACAGGAGGGACAGCACAGAGAGGGCGGCACAGGACTCCGCACCCCCGCCCCCCCCTCCCCTTCAGGTGGCACCTTGTGTCGATTACTTTGGTTTAGGCTGCAAAGTACTTCAGGGACTTCAGGGTGCACTTGTGCTGGGGGATGAACCAGTAGGGGAGGGTCAGTTGATGAGGGACTGGTGGAGGGGTTGGGACCTGGGGCAGGTATGGGTGCGGTGAGGCCTGGGACAGGGCTCAGTGTCCTTGACAGCTGTTCTGAGATTCCCCAGAGCCGGGGGCTCCCTGAGAAGGAAGCAAGGCGATGAGGATGAGGATGAATTTGGGCCGAGGACAGGGGGTTGCCTGCATGAGGAACAGATGGAGGGGGCCTCAGGGGACACCATCCTGGGACAGGGGCTGGTTAGACGCCTGGGCAGGCGGGGGTGGGGGTTGAATTCAGGGCCAGAGGAGGTTCCCAGGACCCTGACCATCCCTCAGCCACCAGCCCAGCGCCTGCTGGCTTTCAAAGGAATGCTTCTGATGTTCTCATGATCTGCGCTTTCCCAGTTCCGTGAGATTAAGATAGAAAGCTGCGGTTTGCAGTAAGC